TGGGAATCCAGGGGAATAACTGGATGCTGCCTAAGCAGGGGAGAGGAAATGAGATGTGAGCAGAGCCCGGGCGCGCGGTTATCCTCTCTCCAGGCCAGGGGGAAGGAATAGTTCCGGTGGTTACTCATTGTGAGTAGCTGACGTCCAGCTGAGCACGGCCTCCGGTTGATGAATCAGTACAATCCAAACACCTCAGCTGCTGCAATAACACCCGTATCATCTGTGATATCCAGAGGCTGCCACACACCGCAGGGATACGAGGGGGGACTTGAATGGCCAGGGCAGGCCCTGGCCGGATGCTGAGTCTCCGCCAGGATCGCGTGTGCCCACGGGAAGCTGACCTTCCCCTGGCTCCCTGCTCGGCAAGCGGAGCGGGACTGCGATAACCACCCCAGCCACCCCGCCACCTGGCCTGGGGCAGAAATCAAAGGAAAACAAAGCAGGATTTTACAAAGGGCTGGGACTTGTTGCCAGGGTGGGTGTTAGACCTGTTCACCCGCTTCCCCATGGGGAGAATTCCCAGAGCGACACGGGGAGCATCCAGCACGGAGACCTCAGCCTGGGGTTCTGGAGAGGTTGCCTTGCTCTGCGTCCCCCGCCGAGCACCCGCGTGGCGGGTGCTTACCTGGCCCCGCTGCCTTGCTCGCTCTCCAGCCGCTTTGCCCTTTGGGCCTGGATCTCCTCACAGATGGCAGCGTACGATTTGTCGGAGGGATGCTCCCCCATGACCCAGACCCAGACGTCGTTGTCGGCTCCGAGCTTCCATCTCACTGACTTCCCGCCGGCTGGAAGAGAAGGAGCCTTTTGCTACTGCTCTCTGCTCACCCGCCCCGGGTACCGCTCGTGTCCGTGCCCTCCTGGTGCTGCCGCCGGCAGCGCCTTCCCCGTGGCAGCTTCGTGTGGCCAGAAGCAAGGAGGCATCTGTGGCTGCGGAGCTGTAGGTGCTTTCTTGTGCCCATCCCTTGTTCGAAGCTCGCTTGGCACAAGGCGCAGACCCACACCCCCCATTGCATTTCACAGCTCATTTCGCAACGCCAGAGCCGGAGTTACTCTCAGTCAATTCAGGAGGTGTTTCTGAGCCCCAAAGCGACAAAGGAGACACCAGCATTTCCTTTCTTCCTCTCATTCCTTGCCAGGGGACTGTGTGAGGCTGGGCTACCTGCAGGGGAGCAGGCAGGAGGAAGAGGACCCCCTATCCGCCAGCTGTGAGCCCGCATGCTCCATAATGCCGGCAAAGGGATTTCGGATCTCAAGAGCCTCAGCCCAGGTAATGCCAAGTTCCCATATGTCACAGCCTTGTTGCTAGCGCTCAGGGACATGCATTCACCTCCATGGTTATTTTAAACACAGATCTGGAAGCTCCATTCAGCAAGACACTGATGCATTTCATGTCCCGGGGGACAAATAAACCGTGCCTCCCCAGGAAGGGGAATTGGTGAAGGACAGAGTGCCTGGTCCTGGGCAAGGGACTGAATCGAGCTGGATGCCTGTCCAGAAGCACCCCCATCGGCAACGGGTTTCGTTCTGGTTTGGGAAGATGACTGATGTGGCCCTAGGTAAAGGAATGACCCTGGGGCCGCGTTGCCCCTCTACCTAGGGAGCCAAAGCCTTGGCGAGAGCTGTGTCCGCAGGCAGCAACTCACCTTTCCTCAGCGGCGGCTTCTTGGCCGAATCCTTGTCCGCAGCAGCTTCTCTTTCCTTCCACCGCCTGATCTGCTCTTGCCTCATCTTGAAGAAGAGGATCTGCTTCTGCTCCTCGCTGAGTTCTGCCAGCAGCTCGGGGTCGATGTACATGTCCGATAATATCTGTTTCAGCATGGCTGGAGGCTTGGCTTGCACGCGCTGCCCGTGCCGACAGTCTCCAGGGGTCCGTTCCCGCTGGCTGGAGCGCGCCGGCACTGCCGAGGAGGAGTCTGTCCCCGCCTGAGCCCGCAGCAGGAATGCAGGCGTGCCAGCGTAATTACACTTCTATCTCGGCAACTTTTTTTATAGCCCAGACTTCCTGCACAGACTGGGAAAAAATAAAAGCAAATAAAGGCTTGAAACCTGCTCTTAAGATCCCTGGAAATAAGAGGTGAGCTCAGCTCACACACGGCCCCCGCCTGCTCTGGCCGGAAGGGAAGCGTGCTCAGGAGGGGGCAGCTGGAGGGTATGCCCTGATAAACCGAGCTGATAGCCTATCGAAATGGGGAGAGTGCTGCGTGTTACTGTCGGCAGAGGTGGGGCTTGTCCCGGCCCGAGCAAACATTCCTGCTGGGCATGGGATCGGGGAACCCAGGACTTGCCTCCTCCAAAACAGGAAACACGTTGAAACTGGGCAGCGTGATGTTTAGTTCAGCCCCTGTCATTTCCCCTCCCAAGAAGAAAGATTGGAGGGGCTGTTGGCTCTGCTCTTGAGGGGGCAGGGGCTGCCCGGTGGGAATTTTGGGATTGCAACTTGACTCACGGGCTGAGCTCCCTCTGAGGGAAACAGCAACCTCAGCTGCACAGAGCCCTTCGACGGGCTGCTGCAGATCAGGCTCTTCCCCGCGCTCCTGAAAATCCTACTGCTATTAATAGGAGAAGGATCGATAAGGACTTCAAAATGCAACCGCTGCGGGGATTCCTGCTGCAAGAATTCCTGCTCTCCAGTCACGCCAGGCACTAAGGGTCACTCGTTACCCACTGGTGCACGGAGAGGACTTCCCCCTCACGTGTCCCTCTCGTCCCGGTCCTCACCCATGACGTTGCCAGCTGAGGGAAAGTTTCTCCAAGCAAATAATAGATAGACACACACACATACACACTGGGTATACTTTACCCCCATAAAGCACGTAACCGATTGTAAAATAAAATAGCAATTAAGTTGAATGGCAGCGCTTGGAGTGATTTGCCGGGAGGCAGTTTCTTCAAAATACTGCACATACCTCCTTACAGAGGAGGCTGCAAAACACTGAGCTCACAAAATTCGAAGACGAATAAAAGATGAGAAAAATGCAAGAAACTTCTATTGGCATGGTGTTTCCCATAAAAAAAAACAGATTACAATAATAATAATAATGATATGGAAAACGTTGAAGCCTTTGAATAATGAGCACCTTCTTTGAGCTGGCCTTCAGCTCAGCTCCAAAAAGCCGCAGAGTCGCCACCAGGAATTATTCCCTCTTGCCAAGAAGATGGTCCACAGAAGCCCAGATGGGTTTCTTTGAACTCAGCAGGTGCTTTTCCACTCACATTGACAGGAAACTAGCCGGGCTTCCACCATCACCAGGTGGAGGACAGGGTTTTATTCTCACTGGGACATGGTCCCTGTCATTGCACCCTGATGGCGCTGAGCGGTCTCGCGTCTCCACAGTGCTGTGAAAGGAGCTGAAGGGAGACGCAGGCTCTGGGCGATTCCCTCTTAGCTTTCTTGGTAAGTTGTGTCCAGAGCAAGGAGGATGTTTTGCTGTGCTGCTTTCTTATTTTAAGTCACTCCATTGTTTTCCATCAAACACCGCTTCCTCTCTCCTCTGCACCATCCTTCTCTCGGAAAGACAAGGAGCGGCGGATTCGGGGCTCGCCATCCACATGCGCATCACCACTCAGTGCCAAACCCAGCAAGGTCCCATGCTCAGGTGGATAAGGCACCGCAGAACACAACCCTTGACACCAGCTCCCTAGAAAGCACAAACGGTCAAAACGTTTAGAAAGCAGAGCGGCGACGTGGACCTCATTGAATGTGTTGCTCCTGAAATGGAGCTCTCACCTGGCTTTTTGAAACCTGCTGCTTTTGAAAAGCACTGGAAAGAGTGGTCTGGCACTCCTGAGATTAAATGGGTGCCTAAACCCTCACCAAGGATTTGAAGACCTTGAAAAGACAGACAGATAGACAGATAGATCCTTCATTTGCTCCTTTGCTTGAAGGAACTGAAGTTAAATCCAGGGCCCCTTTGTGGCAGGTGCCTCTGACACCGTGTGAGGCCGAAGCGCTGCGCCGGGGAGCTCCAGGGCGCTACGGCCCCGCGCGGAGCAGGGAGCGGGGCAGCCTGGCGAGGGCAGCACCAGGGACAGCCCCGCCGGCGGCAGCCGCAGCAGGGAGGGCACAGGCCGCCACATCTCCCCCTCAGCTCCCAACCCGCTCCCCGCTGCGGAGCGAAGCCGAAACACGAAGCCCCATCCCGCCTCGCAGCGGCCGCCTGCGGCGCGGGCACCGTTGCGCCGAGGGACGCGAGGGGCGGGGCGCGCGGCGGCCGTTACCGCGCGGCGGCCGTTACCGCG